GCCGATGCTGGGAACGAATGGGCGAAATCATTGAAGAGGAAGCATGAAGGTAGGTCGCCGTTCCTCGAGTCGTCTTTGCTATCTTTTGCACTGTCACTGACGGAAACCGTTTTTGGTCGGTACCCATTCAATCAGGAAATCCAAGACGATACCTTTGAGCGACTTCTGAATAACTCAATAATTCGTTTTTTTTTCGGAGCTGTACTCTTTCAAATGTCGCTATACACTAGTATAATGAATATTCGCCAAATAACCAATGTAAAATTCCGAATAAGAATTGTGATCACCCTCCATCCAAGATTGCCAGTTGGGGTCCCAAATGTTCAGATCGAGGAGATAGTGCAATCCTTTGCCAACGAAATCAAATTCCGATGTTGCCTCAATAGCTAGCAACTTTGCATGAACTTGAGATTTCGCCTGCCGTGCAGCCAGCTCTCCATAATGAACCGTCCCCAGGTTGATACGCTTAGTTCGACTACTGCACCGAGTCTTCGCAATTTTCATTCGTCCTGTGCGATCTGCTACCGCGTGGAAAGCAGTCACACCGAGCTTGAGAGTGAAACTGTTAGATCCAGGGTAGTGGCAAAGCTCAAGTGCAGCTGTAGTGATATAGTTCGGTTGAGTAACAACCGCAGTACAAATGAAAAACACGTCAAACCTGGAGGGGAATTTATTTCGAGATAGTCGTCACTGATCTTCAGATAAGAATCCTGATCCCCCTGTTTCCAGGAATCCCAGTTAACCTCCCATACTTCTGAATCCAAAAGATATCGCAATCCTTTTCCAACATAATCAAAGCTCGATGTTGCCTTAATTGCTAGCAAAGCGTTGTGAGAAGTTACTCTTTTTTTTGGCGTACCCGTTCAAGTCGCAGCCCAACAAACCGTTCCCACATCAACACACGTTGTCTGATAATTCAGGAGGTATTGACCCTTTCTAGCATTCCATTGCCCTGTATGATCTTCTATAGCGTGAAAGATAACGGTGGGGGAAACCTTGAGGAACCATGATCCAGATGCACGAGTGCTGCAAAGCTCAAGGGGGACTGCGGTGTAATTGTTAAATTTAGGCAACAGCCGTAGGATAAAAAAGAGCACGTCGAACCTAGATTGTGGTCATCCTCGTTTCGCGGGACAGCGAGGGTTGTGAAGAGACTTGAAAGCAGAAATACCGTGACCAACATATGCGATGATGGCGATAGATGCAAAGTCATTGATAAGATGATGTTGAATGTAGAAAGCGAAGGTTTGACTTTGGCTGAACATGCAACACGACGTCAAATGTTACGAATCACTCAGTAACGGAATAGACCAACACAAACAGACACGTACGGGAGGATCGCAACAAACAAAATTTCGAAGAATTTGACCAGCAAATTCACGTACAATACTAATCAGGGTAATGAAGCCGTGAGTTAAAGGACAGGTTTAACAGGCTTGACTTACCGGACCAGCGTTGAAACTTAGTAAACACGTTGGGGGTGGGGTGGGGGGGTGGGGGGGTGGAACAAGTTTGGGAACACATACCTACACATACCCAAAATTTTTATAGCCTCTCGATCAGCAACGGCTGATCCAAGTCCGCTGATAAGCCTGGTTAATAACTCCTACATAGCCCCTGTACCTGTACATTGTGTGATAGCCATAATGTCCAGCTCCTGGTTAATGATGAATCAAACAGATGCTCATTAGTCAGGCAAAGTGTGTAAAAGTTGATTATAAAACACTAAATCCCCCATCCTGTGTGAGGGTCAACTATCCTAGAGTAATGCAAGAGAGTAGTGATCTCAATTCATCTGTAGTACCATTCAGAAGGAGTAGAATGATTGGAGTGGAAGCGATAATAGCTCAAAGAGCATGTGGAATGGGTATGGGCAACGGCTGCAAGACTTTCCGTGTGCTGACTAATAGAGCGCTTATTTCAGGCTATTCAATTTTATCGCGCTCATTTTGCCTCAATTCTTTGTCGATGTTCCTTCCTAGTAAACTGGCTGTATCTGCGCATCGTTACCAACAATCCTTGTATCATCTACCCTCTACAAGAGGCATAATACTCTTCCTCAGAATCATATCCCTCTGAATTATAATCCTGCAAGTCCTGCCAAACAGTCACCTCGCGCTCTTCCTCTTCCTCTGCACTACCATGATCAACTGTGGAAGCATGGAGATCATTATACTTCTCTACTGCAGCTTTATCAGACAAGTGTTCTTCTTCAAGAGAAGCAGAAGGCAGGTGAGGTGAAGGTAGGGTATGAGCAGTGATGTTAAGGACATGTCTGGCAGCGGCAGTTTGGTTCAAACGGTCCTCTATAGATGTCCGTTTACATTTCTTCCAGTGTATACTTGTATCAGCTGCATTTGGCATTCAGAATGGAAGCACAATTCGGTGAGAGACGCGACCGCCAGGCTGTAAAAAATGCACTGAGACGCGACAGATTTGTTTATCATTATTTTTATATTATCGGACTAGGAATTCAGCGAGGATTTTCCTTCTCAATATCCTCATCTCAGTGCACCTCAAAAACTTTTCGGTTCTGCTTCGCTGCATGGAATCATATGTAAATAACAGAACAGATTGGGGAAATAAAATTTCTTTGCGCAGATGTCATTTGCGATTTTAGGCAGAGAGTACATTTATAGCTTTTTTTGTGGGCATTACAAGTATATATAGCTTCACAATATGTACATCTTTTTTGTTGAGAGTCAGCTCTTTGAGTTCTTGTTCACCAAATTCCCTGGAAGGAGCGCGAAGGAATTTGCGTTTAGCGCTTAGATTGTACCAAAATGGTCGCATGCGGCATGGTGCCGAACTGTATTGAGGTTGCCCATACCCATGTGGAAGCACAGGGAAAGCCATATGGATTAAATACCTCATGCATAGTAGTATCCCTGTTGTTCAATTTTTCGGATCGGGGTTCACGTCTGTACTGCCAGTTCACTCCAATGAGCTCCAATGGCTGTGGGGGGCACAATCCTGATGGCAGTCTTTCTATTGTCTGTTGTAACTTGGTTTGTTCGTATCCTAATCCTCGAAGCTCGTAGCTGAAACTACTCAAGTTGGTCATATTGATTCACAAAGTGTAGTGATCTTTCTATGTTAGACCCCTTCAGTGTGGCATCAAACTTGAAGAGAGCTCATTTGTTGCTGTCCAAGATTAAGGCATGATAGCGTCCTTTGAACTTTCTACATTCCTAGTAAATTCATATTAAGGTTGCCAAACAGTATTTTGAGAAACCAAGCTCTTGAGATCAATTACCGTCGACAAGGGAGTGCCAACAGAGTTACAAGATCTCCAAGAATCATCAATGGACAAATGACTGGGGGCATACAGAAGCCAAACCTAAAGGTTCGGCAATAATCAATCAGCGGCAACGACAATTTCACGTGAATCTCTTGTGCAGAGTCCTTCATCTTCATAGTCACTTTTTCAGCCATGGCTCTCCCTCGTACTTTATCTGTCATTGGCGCAGGCCAAATGGGAATCGGTATCGCCTTCGTCGCCTCCTTGCGCGCCAAGATCCCTGTTGTCCTCCTTTATGACCATGATCCATCACAAATCACCAGAGGTCTTGGGTTCATGGACAAACTCCTCGCCAAAGACGTGTCAAAGGGTAAGATTAGCGAGAACGACGCGAAAGCTGCTAAGGCAAGGATTACCGCCATCGCATCCTCCTCTGCGTCGGCAAGTTCGAATGATGAAACCAACTGGGCGCGAGAGTTGGGCGAGCGTGGGACGGATATGGTTGTTGAAGCTGCTTCGGAAAGGTTGTCGATTAAAGAGGGAATATTCCGTGCGTTAGCGCGCAACTTATCCAAGGATGCGGTATTGGCGAGTAACACGAGTAGCATCTCAATTACAAAGTTAGCTGGAGCTGCGGTGGATGGGCTAGTGACTAGTGTTAGCAGGGCAAGCGAAGAAGGAAAGAGCTGTGCAGGTCGAGTGGTCGGTGTGCATTTTTTCAATCCGGTACCAGTGATGGTGAGCGACCACTTTTGACAAGACGTCAAGGGCCTTAACGAGACTTAAGAAACTATGTGAAGTAATACCGGGACTGCAGACGTCAGAAGCTACACTTGAACAAGCCAAAGCATTCGCAATTGCTTGTGGAAAAGGTCATCACGGGCTATTTCACCGTGGTTCGTCGGGCACTAATGTAGTGGGAATACAGAGGTATCAACTTCGAAGGACGTCCCTGGATTCGTTTCAAACGCATTACTCATGCCATTTCTCAATGAGGTGGGCGTCATTTTTTTCTCCTCGATGTTCATCCATCTAAAACAAGTCCTATAGGCTATAATGTGCTTAGAATCGGTAAGTTCATGGCGTGCATTCAGCCCTCAATGTCATGAGATAGGCATCCCGAATACTCACATGTTGTGTTCTACCATAGGGAACTGCAACAAGAGATGACATTGATAAAACTCTCCGACTGGGTATGGGCCATCCCATGGGACCGTTACAGCTAGGTCTGGTATTTGTTCAACCGAGACAATGACTTATACTCATGCTTTTGTTTTAACATGAACAGCTGACTTGTGAGTATTCTACGTCCTTTCGACAATCTCATACTTCATTAACATCATGCAGCATTGGCCTTGACACCTGTCTTGCCATTCAAGAGACACTTTATGAAGGTACACATGACTCAAAGTATCGCCCTAGTATCCTGCTAGGGCGTATGGTTGACGCAGGGTGGCTGGGAAAGAAGAGTGGTAAAGGATTCTACGATTACTGAGTATCTCATTACAGCATACAAGTATATCGATGAACTCGAACGGAAATGATGTTACACCGCCCGCAGGGCTCGCACCTTGCAGGATGTCATTTCTTCGCTTATCGATTCTCAGGAAGCGTTAAGCAGTTCTAACTTTTTCCCAGATATTTCCAGATCTGAAAGTTCTCCTTATTATCACTCACAATGTGTCCTCGTGAGTACACTACTCACATGTACATATTTTCACACCTTCTATTATGTACCATTACTGATTTGCCATAATTATCCAATGTGGTGTAGTGGTCAACATTGCTGTCTTTCATGACATTGTCTACATAACACAGCAGCCCGGGGTTCGATTCCCCGCATTGGAATGCTTGACTTTAATATTGTTTTGCCCCGCACCTAGCACTTATCCTGCACTCTCACAGTTGCTTGATGCCTCTAGATCTCTTGATTCTCGGCGCTGGGTGGACTTCAAGCTTTTTACTTCCTGTTTGCCGTACGCGCCGCATCTCCTTCGCAGCGACAACGCGCTCCGGAATTGACAACACCATCAAATTCCTCTTTGATCAGGACTCCGACGACTCAGAACCTTTCAAAGTGCTCCCAGATGCGAAAACTTTACTGATCACCTTTCCTATAACGGCTCTGGGAGGCTCCCAAAGACTCGTTCAGTTATATAAGAATACTCGTGCAGACAAGGACTTGAATCCCGCGTTTATCCAACTTGGTGCTACGAGTATCTGGGGTGTGGGTGATGTTCTCTCAACTTTGTCAGTGCTTACAACTCGGACGTAGGAACAAGGTTCTCGCCAACACAAAGGCCCAGCACCGAAAGTCATTACGCCAGCGGAAAACAAATGGTACGACAGACACAGTCTGTATAACTCCAATGAACGTTCAAATGCCGAAGACGAGTTGTTGGCCTTGTCTCCTGTCACGCCTACGACTGTCTTGGACCTTGCTGGCCTTTATGGAGAAGACAGAACGATGAGGAGATGGGTTGGAAAAGTGGCGCCAACGAAAGAAGTTCTCAGGAACAAAGTACGTCCTACAACTGTTGAATTTCTGAAAGTCGACATCGCTCATGACCATTTTAGGGAAGTATACATATGATACATGGCTTGGACGTTGCTCGAGCGATCGTCGCAGTTCACAATGACTTTTCCAGAGCGGTCGGCCAGCGATGGCTCTTGACGGATGGACGCGTCTACGATTGGTGGGACCTTGCATCTGCCTGGGGCTCTGGTCCATTGGATGGTACCGATTCTGAAGACCGTGGACCACAGGCAGTTTGGGTTCGTGAACTCATGCGTGAAACTGGTGTACGGGCACTTCCCCGAAGCAGCAAGATTCTCGGGCGTGCGTTGGATTCGAGAGAGTTCTGGGAGACGTTTAATATAACGCCTCTGAAAGGGCGAATGGAGGATTGACTGTATGTACTGCTTCATTCTTGATGGTAAACTATCTGCAGAGTATGTAGCATAAGACTTCTGCTGTTTGTATTCCTCCTTGTCATCATGATTCCTCGCAAATACCAGTTTCGCTATCCTCCACCGTTCCTTCCGTACAACTAGTCCGAAAAGTTCGCTTGAACACTTCACCCCAGTGGTCATACACATTGCTCTGTCTAGACACGATCGCCTGCTCGATATGAATGAATTCACCCGTAGCCGTCAAGGTATTCGCCTCGGTCATACAGACGTTGCTTTCCGGAACGCCGTTGATCAAACGACCGAAAACATTGCTCGTTGCGGTCAAAGCACAATCTGGATCGTCTGGAGGGATTGTGACATTCCAAGTTGGGAACACTGTCCTTGCTACGTCGCGAAGCCGGCGAGCAGGAATATCGAGAGAAGGATCTCGATACCATGAGAGAGACGAGTTAGAGTTCCCTAGTCAACGGATGAAAAAATCAACCGTCAGTCGGAAGAGCGGGTCAGAATTGGAAGTTACCAAGGCCACTCGAGATGAACATCGTATCTGCTGCACAAGAAGCAGCAGCTTTTCCGTGGAACTGTACATACGCGCAAGTCTCCGAAGGACAACCACCGTTCGCATTTTGCCAATCTCGGATCGCCTGATTAGCAATACTGAACGGTTCGTGCTAATCATCAAAACGTGGCTTGGTAAAACAAAAAATGAAAGAGTCGGACGAGATTGAATTCACACATACTATATCATGCGTAGGATCCGTCTTGAAATAACGCTTCCTCGGTTGGGTAGGAGGTATACAGTCCGTCTCCATCGCGTATGCTGACCGGAACCGACCAGAGACGAGCAAACTATGTGCTCCTGAAAGCACGAAAATCGCGCCAGCTTGCTGCGGCGTGTTGATATCGGCTTGTGGATGAGGTGCGGAAAGATGTAAACGACGAGAGATCTGTTTGGCTGATGCTGGCACAATCATCGATCCCCAACCCTTCGTATAGTTTTGATTAACGCTTGTAGTAGTCTCGGAAAGGATGCAGAAGCTTCTAGTGGAATCGGCATCTGAAAATGTAGTGACGACGTAGAAGTGTTCCAGCACCGAAGGTAACTTGATACTAGAACAATCATTTGCGTTGACATCCAGCATAGAACTGACCACAGACGTCCATGCTGTGTTTTCCTCCTCTGTAGGCTGAGCAGCGGCATAGGAAACGGCATCGTAAAAGCCCGGAGACACAGTGAATGCGTCGAGGCAACTGATGAGGTCATTCAAGTTGTGAAGGGCTAGACAGTCTTTTGGTGATAATTTTGTCACTTTGGCGCGATCGTTCAAGTATAGGCTAATCCAAGAGACCACCAGCAAGATGAGCATGAAGTTTATGGAAAGCATGGTGCGGTGAAAGTTGGCGCGGAGAACTTGAGAATCATCAAATTGTATAGGATTTGTGATAGACCAGCTCACCAGAGCTTAGTGCGGATAGCCGCAGCCTCTTTTGAAATCGTACGATTTCATGGGCGAAGAGACTATGTAGCTCGATAATTGGAGTTATATTTCATAACAGGAAAAAGTGACCCAATTGGACACTCCGCAATATTCCCGTTCCCAATTACAAGCTTAACGCCCATGAAATTCATGAAAGCGTAGTCAAAATCTACTTCTAAATCATCCTACTGTATGAGAGTCACTAGCAACCAGAGAGCCCTCTGCATTATTCGGGGCCGGTATATGCGAGCCAAAACTGACTTCCTCGAAGAAATCAGGAGGCATTCCTGAAAGTCTGAGAACTTTTGCTTTGGCCTCCTGCCACGACATGGGCACTTCCTGCAAAGAATACTTGTCCAAATCGATATTCTGAGTAGCCAAATGACTGTCCAGAAGCTTTATGAAAGCCCGTCCTTTCTCAGAAAGGATGAGAGCTGAACTTGGCGTTCGTTCGTCTTCTGAATAGATAGTGTCCGTGACGGACGACGCGAAGCTAGGGATGAATTCTCGTTGAAGCTCTTCGTTGGTACGGGCAATCCATGCTTCGAAATCATCAACGATAGCGACGCTTTGTTGTCGTACGGTTGGATCTGGGTGTCTCCAAAGGTCTCTGCATACGATCATAAGAGGGTTCATGTCGAAGAGAGTAATGCGGTCTTCAGCACAGTAACATCTAATTGTAGCAATTATCTGTTGCAAGAATTCCATATGGAGCTGCGGCTCTTGTCCTAGATGTTCCAAATAGTAAGACACGGTGAAGCTGCGAACAAACGCAATAGTGCATACCATCCCCAACGAAATCAAGGACCGCCAAGTTCCAGAACGACTTGAGTGCATCTCCAACGGCACGACCACTATGTCCGGGAGAGTTGATCTGCCGGAGGAAAAGCTCTGCGAGAAACTTGCCAAGATCCAGATCCCAAGCTGAGATTTTGAAGAAATGGTAATAGATTGCATCTCGTGAGAGTTCTCCCGTTCTACCTGTAGCGAAAGCTGCTACATCTACTGGGAGGTTTTGGAAGCAGTGGAACATGTGGTTTGCCATGATACTGCTGTCGCAGAAGGTCTTGACCATCCAACGAAGTCCTCGCAACAGGAAGACGCTATGTAGTTGTACACGCTTCAAAGGTGAATGGTTTCGAAGTAAAAACAAGTCGCTTGAGGCCCAACTCTGGAATGGGTTGTGCCTATTCCAAGGGAGAAACGTCACCAGCTTGTAGAAGAGCCAGGCTTGGGGAGATTTGTACGGACAAATATGGACTTCATCTTCGTCGATGAAGGATGGAAATTTGAATAGATGATACGCTGGAAGAATAGTGGTCAAAAGAGGAATTGAGACGCTGATGGCAGCAGCGGCAGTGCAGATCGCAGCTACGACAAAATTAAGCGACCAAAGTAGGTCCAGAATACCATAGAAGAAGAGGACCAATGCCAACTGTAAGATAAGAGGGAGTGAAGCTAACAAAGCAGGAATCCCCCATTGTTCTAGGCTCTCGAAACGGAGCTGTCGAAGCTCCAACGCTTCTTTTGAGGAGGAGCAAGGCGTGTCCCGTCTATGCTCCCGGAGCCATTGTTTGCATAGAATACCGAGTAAGACAGTGGACAGACTGAATATGAGACTGAGGAACCATACGGAATTGATACGGACAGCCGAAGCGGAAGAGAAGTTGTTCGAATTACTCGAATTACTTGTAGAGAGTTGCACATTCGACTGTAACGCGATCTGTTGAAGCATTTGCAAAATCGAATTCGTATTGAAGTTGTTTGGCTGCAACCACTTGTAGCTTTCGATGACGAAAGCAGTCACAGCAGCAGAAAACAAGCCGGCCTTTCTTGATATCAGCAATCGATATCTCCCTTTTCAAAAACACTGAAATTCGCTCACGAAAACCAGTAATGTATCGACATCCTCCTTCCACCCACGACACATCTCGTCGTCATAAAGGTCTACGCGTCTCATGCTTTCCTCCCATGGATCTCCTCGCCGTTTGGGCGAGAATTTGTAAGGGTCACCTTCTTGCCATAGGCGCGGCTTGGGAATAGAAAGTCAAAGTTTTGTCTGTACGGTAGATAGATAGATAAGCGCCTACCATGTCTCCTAGAAACACGGAACCACGATCGGGTCCTTCTCCCTGCAAATTCTCAATTCCACCTTTACTCGCCGGTAAGGGAACAGCTTTGATGCTTGCGCTTTTGTTGCTTCTGGTGGGCGAGCCCCCTCCTTCGAACGATCTAGAACAATCAACGGTGAAACACCGTTGGGAGAATAATGGAGACAGCGTACCGGGTGGGCATCCCAAATTATTAGTTGATTATAGTCAAGGTAGTAGCTCTAGTGCGTAAGATATGGGAGGGAAACTCACATCACAAAACCCTTGAAATACCGCCTTGAACGTGTACTCTGCAAAGCTGAAGCGACACGGGCCTGTGCCCGACACTACTCGATACGTTATACTC